GGGTCCTTAAACTTTTCCATGTTAAATCCCATTAGCACAGTTACAAATATCAATTATGAATCAGTCTGAAATTAAAGACATGCTTCAGCGAGGCTGGAAAGTGGAGATTCTTCTTATCAATAGAGAGAGGAACTCTCGGACATCCTCATGCTGGAGGTTGACACAGAAGGGGCCTTTGTTTTGCCTTTGTTTCTTTTTCGTTATTAGCTTCCACGTATCAAAAAACAAAAAAATTGAATCCGTGATACATGTTTGAAACATCTCCCTCACCATTTAGCTTAAACATGTCTTTTGGAGCTCCTCAAGGCTCGAGCCATTTCTTGCTCAGGGGAAACACAACGGGTCACCCACAAGACTTCGCTAAAAACACTTCCATCCTCTTCCGTTACTGCACTTCAACCCTTCCACTCATGGTGGAACAGAAAAGGGACCCAACTCCAACGTCTGTGAAATAAAAAAAGTGACATACCGTTAAATAGTTATTATCTATGTATGACATGTGAATTAGGAGAGCCTCCCCTGTTTTAGTAATAGAAAAACAGAGCAAATCGAACTACTCACTAGCAACACAAGGCTACCTCTAATGATTTGACTACTATTGCAATCTCCCACACATTCAAGAATCAATTCGTATTTCCCTGAATCTTCACTGTATATATAATACTATATGACTGCCGAATCTGTAATTTCCATTGAATCATTGATGTGCATGTAGTGAGAAAGTGCTCAACGATGGACTTGTGATTGCTTTTGATTTTCCGATAGCAGTTATATATATAATATATAAAGCTCATGAAGGCTTCTTAGCTTTTTTTTTTTTTGGCGCTTTCCCTATAAAATCAATAAACACTCTTTTTTCTGGTGTGCGTTGCAGTCGCATGGATTGAAGAGGATGTGAGTGTTGTTAGCAAGCTCTTAGAGGTGATCGTTTGTGCATTACCTAGGCAAGGTACGGCTCAAGCGTTAAGAAACTCCAAGCAGGGTCAAATTGGATAGTGAGGGAGAAGATTCAGATGCATGTCACTTATTCATAATCGAAATTTTTAACGGTTTTGATAACTGCTTAACGGCAAGGATCAAGGAATTTAATAGGAAAAGTTTAAGAATCCAATCAAAAGAGAAAAAAAAACCTCTAAATTAGTTTTCCCTTATTATGATTATCGATGAATTTATAAGTGATAATAAATATTTTAACAAGTACTCATGTACTTAAAAAATCTTGACACAACAATTTACCAGTCTTGATTATCATTTTAACATGTTTCGATACATACAAAATAACAAGTGTGAATAGGTGAATTTATAAATGCTAATATAATACTACCTCCGGTCCATAATATAAGACTTAATTTAATTTTTATTTTGATCCAAAATATAATATCTCAATCCACTTTATTTTTCATATTTATTTATTTTTTCTCAAGATAGTTCTTCTAATAATGATAGTTCTAGTAAATAAATTTGATTAACAAGGATATTTTAGGAAAGAAAATACCTATTTATTACAAATAACTAACTCAAATTACTTTCTTAATCTAGTTAAATTAGTTAATTGACTCTTATATTTAGAATCGAAGGTAATATGTTATTATGCACATGAGTACTTGTTAAAATATGTAGCAACACTTAAAAATTTACCCATCCATAACTTTTGTAAATTTTCATAACAACATTTATTATTATTGCGTATGAGGAGTTTGTTAAAAATGTGTCTAGCACTTGTAAATTCACCTCTACACTTGTTATTTTGTGTGTGTGTGTGTGTAAACATTTTGTAATGATGATCAACACTCATCGTGTCAGCACTTTTCATTTCTCATATAATTAAATACTCATTAAAATGTTTATCAACACCTGTGAAAGTCTTCGTATTTCAGTGTTGGAAAAAGGAGATCAAGCAGTGTTAATATTTCATAGAATGCAACCTTTTAGAACATGCATCTGTGCAATCCCTGAATTTTGTTCCTTCCAAATTTTGTTAGATCTAATGTCTTCAAAACTTTTGAAATGAAGACATTTTGTCTCAAAATTAGTAAGAGCCTGTTTGGTAGAAAGAATTAATTGGCATAGAATAAAAATTTTCGACCGAGAGCCTGTTTGGTAAGTACTAGAATAGAAAATGGGTTGACAGAAAATTTTATGTTTGGCTGGATAAAAATGGGCTGAAAAATTATGCAATTTTATCATACTATCGTTAATGAAAGAATATAATATTATTAAATAAATAATGCTTTTTAAACTTATAGCAATTTAATATTATTAAAAGTTTAATAATTAAAAAAATGAATGAATTAAAATATATTATAATTAACAAAAAATATATAGATATTAAATAAATAAAAACAATTAAAAACAAAATATAAAATAAAGTATAACAGAGAAATTTGAATAGGGAATGGAAATACATCTACAAGCGAAAAAATAATGAACTATGATCTGGTAATTTATAAATCCGAATGGACATGAATAAAGACCACTAAAATGTGAATTTTTAGTGAGTACACATTTCTTGATATAAATTTAAATGGATCAAATGATTTATCATTGAAAAATTCTCTAAGGTTAATTTCTAATGTAACGGGACCCATTCAAAAACTCTTTTTATTTTGAAATTTATTCTTAAAACAGAAAGCAAATGTCACAAACATTTTCAAAAAATAGATTAACATTGCATAATTAAAGTATTTAGATAGATGACATTAAAAAGCTGGTTGAGTTTATATTTATATAGAAAAATCTATATTGAAAAGTATTTATAATTTTTGAGATATTATAATAACATTAATTAAAGGTCAAAGTTAAAATATCTCTGACATTTGTTCACAATTTTAATTATAGCTTTATAAATATAAAGAATTTTTGAACGGGTTTTATTTCATTAAATACTGGATTTAAATAGTCTTTTTAATGATAAGTCATTTGCTCAGGTTAGATTTATATTGATGAAATGATGTTAGATGAATTAAGCTTAATATGATAAGTAAAAGGTTTTAATATGACAAGTAAAGGCGCAAGCAAATTCAAACTTGATGTGAGAAATTTAAATTTTATTGCATCCAATTTGAATATGCTCAAGAAAATTCAAATTTGATGCAACAAATTCAAATTTTCTTGCATCAAATTTGAATTTGCTCATTTCCTTATCTTAGCTTAAAACTTAATAATGGGTTTATTAATGTAAATTGGAATTTGTATCAAGAAATTTCAATTTATACACAATATATTTCAACTTTGGCACAAAATTTGGATTCACTCGACTCTATTATAATTTGTTTTGACGCATTAAACAGAGTAATTTTCAATTAAATATAACTTTGTTAATTTGAATTCAAATTGAGTAAATGATCTATCACTGAAAAAACTCTTTAAGTATAGTTTTTAATTCAACAAGACCCATTTAAAAATACTTTGTCATTTTAAAGTTAAGATCAAAATAATAAGCAAAGATCAGAAACGTTTTTCTTATCAAATCTAAAAAATCATATTTGTTTCGTACGAAAATATTTTTATTGAGGTAGATGTTGTTAAAAAGTTTATTGAGTTTATTTTTATTTATAACTAGTTTCACTTCAAAAATATTTACATATAAGCCATGAATGCTAGGCAAGTTATAAATTTGATGATTGAGCTCAAGGGCTTATAGGTTAAGCTTGGATGATATTTTTGTGTTTACGCGCTTCTAGTTAGAGGTAAATTTTTGACGTACGGGAGTGACAGGTAGTTTTTTTTTTTTTTTGGGGCCCAAAGACGTAACAGGTAATTAGTTACCCATCTTTTGCGCATGCTGGAATTTAGAAATATTCACAAATCAATTGTCTACATAAACTCTAGCATTTAGAATTACTCACTACCCTAAATTACAAGAAATATTTAGAAAGAAAATATGCAAGAGACCTCAAATTCAAAAAAATCCACTTATTTAGTAAGCAATGTATAAATTATGTAGAGCATTTTTGGGGTAATATATTAACGTTGTGTTTGGCTCGACAGAGAGAAAGAGGGGAGGGATTTTGGGGGGAGGGGAAGGAGCAATTTTAATAATGCCTTATTTTATTTTAATAAAAAATTAACTATTTTAACCTCAAAATTTAAATGAATTTTCTCACTTTTTATTTTGTTAAGATATAACTATATATATAATGCAATTCACCAATTTTAATTTACAAGACACAGTTACACACTTATAGAATATTCAGATAAAAAGTCGTGAGTGATAAATTTTAATCAAAGAAAAGACCTTAAAGGTGAAAGAAAATACCGATGACCTCTTGGAATTAGAAGAAGAGGAAAAAAAAAGGTTTACAAATACTCCCTAATTTTGGAGACAATTATCTCAACAACCTCTTGCTAGATGTTCAAAAGAACTCTCTTATGTAGAAATGTTTACGACTGATTAGAGGTTAACAAATCAAAATGGTATATGAGAAATTAAAATATTATTTCTCATCTTCCCTCTAAAAAATCCCACTTTTAGTGGGAAGGCTAGAAAGGAAGAGGAGGGGAAAAGAGTCCCTTCCCTCTTTAAAAAATATCTTAACCAAACGAGGAGAGGGAATTGCACCCATCCTATCCTAAAAATTGCACCAGCCAAACAAGGAGAGATAAATAACTTCCCTTCCCTTTCCTCCGAAAACCCCGTATCAAACATAGTGTAAGGTTATAATATTATATGCAAGATTTTAATTTTTTTCAATTTAATCACAGTTTTAACTTGACTCCCAATCTCCTGCCACCATTTCGACAGTCCAAAACTCGCACTCGCCACCTTGATTTTTTCACGGCGAGCAAAATAAACTTTTTCCATTTAGTATTATTGGGATTCCTAAATAAGGTGCATGTTGGGTTTTGGTGCTAATTATAATCTTTTTAGGATTACAAATACACGTAATTCCATTTCATTAAATCTTTAATTTTATTCCGTTAACATCATTAACCCTTGCTCAAAGACTAACAATGCTAATAAAACAAAGTTACAAGAGTTACTGTAGCCAAAAGGACAAAATTAAATGATTTAATTAAAAAAATATAAATACTAAATAAAAAATTGAGAGAAATTATAAGTATCTCCAATATAATTTTGTCAAATATAAATTACAAAGCTTACACTCAAGCATCATTACATACCAAACGGAAAACATAAAATTATGAATGCGTTAAAGAGATCAAACTTGCTTCATCTATCTACAAAATGGGAATCGAATATGATTAACTCTCTGGATCATCGACGGCTTCAATAAAGAAGCCCATTTCTTCACAAGTGATTTGATTTCAGCTTCTGGGATTGCTACGACGGCGCTTTTAAACGCACTACTCCAATTCCTTCAGAAAATCGACATTATCTACAAACACCTGTACATTGGAGGGAAAAACTAAACCACAGGCTAATATTTATCAGAAATAAAAGAAGGATTGCTACATTTCCACCAGAAAAATGAACAGATGATGGAAAAATGCATGCTATTTGAGGAGCCAGGGAGCTGGTAGTTGTTTCAGGGAGCAGGACAGGAAGATAGACAGACAGACACCTCGAGAAGATAAAGTTTCACCAGGTTCTGAGTGTGAAGCCACACACAACTCAAAAAATGAGCAAATTACCAATTTTTTGGGATTCAAAACTCACAAGCCATTTACACCTCCTCGAAGGCAAGAGAAGTTACAGTACCATGATAACCGTCTATCAGCATGTGGTGTTCAGTATCTGTAGGGTCATTCAGCAAACTCTGATGATCGTAGTCATTTGCATGAATTCTGCAACTATGATGAAGATGACAAGGTATGAGAGTACTGTGTATGTTGCTTGCCTAATTACATTACTCCGCCCTTGTTTTATCGCTGGTTCCAAAGACTCTTCATTGTTAATAGAGCAGAATAGCACATGGTAATCCAGGCAACTGACCTTACCCCACCTGGTAAGATCTCGTTTTTGCTGTCACGGCTGCTTGTCTTGTTACATCTTAAGGTGCATATCAGCAGGCTAACTGGCTATCAGCAATAGAGTTGAAGCCTTAGATTTGTCAAACATGATTTATTTGCACTTGCTTCCACATCGTTTTCAGAGTGCTAATGACAATTTACTCGATGTTCTGATATAAAATAGATCCTAGCTCCCACATACCAGAAGACAGAAGGCAAACTTTTCATCCTCTGATGGGGTTAGAGGCACCCACTTCCCTAACTTCCGAGGCTGATAAGCAAATAAAGAGGGCCAAGGGGCGCTGCTTCCGTTGTGGGGAAATGTTTCGTCCAGGGCACCAGTGGAAATTGACTAATCTTAGATCGATGGAATTGATCAAAGAAATGGATGATTGAGGAAACCAACCCCAAGAGTACAGCAAGCCAGGATTCACGATATTGCTACATGCAATTTCGGGCATTGCATCGAATACCACCATGAAGGTACAAGGCACTTTGCTTTCTAAGAAGTGCTCATTTTGATTGACAAAGGCTCTACACACAACTTAGTGTCGAACAAGTTAGTGATAGAGTTGAAGATACCAGTTCAACAAATTACTCCTTCTAGAGTACAACTTGGTGATGGAAAAATATCATCTTGCAAGTCCATTTGTAGAAAGTCGAAGATCTAACTACAAAGCCTTACCATAAAAGATGATTTTTTTCCTTTCTCTTTCGGAGGCATTGACTTAGTCTTGGGAATTCCATGGTTGGCTTCACTAAACACGGTGGAAGCAAATTGACAAAATCTATATGCTATGCGAACTGCACCCTGAATCACATGATTCACACCGAAATTGCGTGAATCACGTGACACTGGTGGATCATGCAGATCCGATCTGGATCTATGCAGGACCCAACAAGCTGAAACCCCTTTTTTCGTTTTTTTTTTTTTTAATGTATAAGGGAGATCAAGTGCCGTTAATGCAATGATAAGCAAGAAATCCTACTTTTTTATTCCCACTGCTCTCCTTTTCACGTTCTAATCTGTATCTTGTGCCGTAAGCCATGTTACTTCTTTTCTTCTCTTTTGGTGGTTCCTTTTGGTCGAAACTTGAAAGCTATGAACATTGAAGACAGTGATCCACTCTATATACTATTGCTGAATTGCTAGTTGCTGGTTCCTTTTGGTTGAAATTAGAAAGCTTTGAACATTGAAAACAGTGATCCACTCTATACGCTATTGCTGAATTGCTAGTTGATTGGTGATCCATTCTACTCAACTCGTGTTTGGTAATTTTTTTTCACTCTATTTTGCTTTTATTGGATATTATATTGGTGGAAAAAATGAGTCAGAATCAGAATAAGAAAAAAAAGGGAGTTGATATTACATGGAATCATTGTGAAAGTGTTCCTCCCTATAGACTTATGGTTAAATGCAAATATTGTTCACATCAATGTTGGAGTAGGGTAGCTAGGATGAAACATCATTTGGCTATAACTAGAGAGAATGTGAGTTCTCGTACACGTGTTCCTAATGAAGTTAAAAAGTTGTTTGTTAAAATACTAGAAAATAGAGACAAAAAGTAAAGAGGCTAATAGTGTTGATGTATTTGAAGAGGCAACAGCTCAAAATGATTAAAGGAAGGAAGGAACACCAAAAACTACCAAACAGAAAACTATGAATATGATGGTAAAAGATAGAGAGTTAGTAATTCAAGATATTTGTAAATGCATCTGTGGTAATGCTTTACCATTCAATTTGGTGAGAAGTCCACTGTTTATTCAAATGTTAAATTCTGTTGGTGAAGATGGTTTGAAACCTTCAAGTTCTCATGAGGTGAGAGTTTCTCACTTGAAAAAAGCAGTTGATAAAATTCATGAAAGTTTAGCAAAGTATAAGAGGGAATGGGAGAAATCGGCTGTACATTGATGTGTGATGGTTGGGACGGTTTTCCTAAAGTCAGTGGACACGTATAGTGTGATTAAATATGCTAACCAAATGTTTGAATTACTAGACAATATGGTTGAGGAAATTGAGGAGGATAATGTGGTGCAAGTTGTGACAGATGGTGCCACAAATCTCATGGCAGCAGGGAAGATGTTAGAAGAAAAGAGAACAAGATTATTTTGGTCCCCTTATGCAGCACACTAACTTGATTTAATCCTTGAAGACATTGGGCAACTTCCGGTATTTTATAATATTAACACCAATGCAAAGAAAATAACGATCTTCATTTATAGGCATACATGGGTCCTTAACTTGTATAGAAAGTATTCCAAGAGAAGAGAATTAGCTAGACTTGCAATGACAAGATTTGCAACAGATTACCTTACACTAAGTTGCATATAGCAGCAAAAGAATGCTCTTTGAACCATGTTTGCTTCAAACAATTGGGTTTCTAGTTCTTTTGCTAGTAAAAGTGAGGGTAAGCAAGTGGCAGACAAGGTTTTTGGGGATTCTAGATTTTAGAGTTCCATCCAATATTACTTAAAATGAGAGTCCGCTTGTAAAATTTTTGAGACTTGTAAATGGTGAATCTGAACCTGCAATGCCATATATTTATGAAACAACGGACAAAACCAAAAAAGAAATTGCTAACAATTTTGAAAAGAAGGAGTTAAGGTATGAAAAAGTATGGAAGATCATCAATACTCATTGAAATTTGCAACTGCATAGACCCCTCCATGCGGCTGCCTACTTTTTTAATCCCAAGTTCTTGATTCTCATGTGGTGGAGGAAAAAGGCAAGATGATGTGGAGCTTCTTAGTCAGTGGAAGAATAGACCCCCTGAAGATTCCAACTGGGAATCTTATGACTTGGTTGCTGCATAATTTCCATCCTTCTGCCTTGAGGACAAGGCTCATTTTCAAGGAGGAGTAATGATAGGATTCAACGTCCTCTCTTAGCATACTCCAGGAGGAGGCTTTAAGTTTTAAGGGTCGTTTTATGGTTTAGTTAGGCTTATCCTATGTTATTGTTGGTTGCTGTTGGTTATTAAGTAGTTTATGACAGTTTTATGTTCAATTATCGTATGTATGGTATTTAACTTAATGTTGTAAGACAAGGCAGATATCTATGAAGTATTATTTAGTTGTCTCCTGTCTTTTCTCCCTTTCTATAATTCATATACCGGTTCTAGAAAACAAATTCTCTCTTCTCTCTTTATTTCAATTCTACCTTTCCCTCCTAATCCTTCTCCTAGTCCTATCACATAGCATGTAGAGCAGTTCTCATAACCACCACAGTAAATTCATTCTATGACAGAATAAAAAATGATGAGAAAGTCACAAAAACCCTCTTTTTTTAAAAAAAAAAAAAATCATGTCACAGTACCCATATTGGTATCAAGAAATTTTCATAAACCAAGTGTTTGCACCAAGATACTGTCAACTCTATCATAATAAATTTTTCATGTAACAAATTGCACAGATGCATACCGTCTTCCAGCCATCAGGATCCAAGCATGCTGTAATTTTTGTATTGATCCCAGGCAATGGTCCAGGCTCTCGGGTAATCTTTCCCCCAGCAAGTTTAACAGCTTCTGCAGTTTTGTAAACATCATCGGTGCCTATTGCAATCTGAAAAGGGTAAACACAGAAAAAAGAATTAAATTCTAGAAAGGATCATCTAACAGGAGGTAAGAAAATTTTATGAAGAAACACGATGTAGTTCATTTTTAAAGAAAATCTTGTATAAAGACTACATCTGTTTTGCTTAATTAAAAAAAAAAAAAAACCTATAGATATCACAATCACACAATGAAAACCTCAGCAGAAATGTTGAGGACGTCATGGGCCTGGCCCAAAATAAACTGTTTTAGTTTCAGATTTTACAAGTTATTATTAGCTGCTATTATTTCCAGATTTTGCAATTTCTACTCTGATTTGATTATGTTTTAAATTATTCCCTGATTTATGTGATGGCCGATCCTAGTGAGAATGTGAGATACTACAGCCTAGGATGTGCATCAATAAATAGTGCCTTTAGCTACTCAATAAAGATAAGTTTTTCTGGGCAAACATCTCTAGGAGAAGTTTTTAAAGGATCTAAAGAATTGAAATAGAAGAACTATTGTCTACCTGAGCATAACCATTTCCTTTGTCATATTCAGTGACTCCGTAGTTGTAAGTCAACTCCATAACAGCACTTTTATCTTCAGGACCATAACCAAGCATAGCGATGGTATACTATCAAAAGACAAGGGTGATCAAAGGGTCAGATGTAAAGAAAAGCAAACTACATGCCCAAAGTACTAAATAAGGTGATAATGAACATTTTTTGAGGCATAAAAAAGCAATCAAGATGGGACCTCAGAATTGTCAATAAATCTCAAGATTTATAAAAACAGTTCGGCACACAAAAGTTTTCAACTCAAATATAAATCAGAATATAATAGAGGTTAAGTTCAGTTCTAACTCCAGAGGATTTACACAAAAATTATATCCATAACTGCCTCTAATAATTCTACTATAACATCACGTTGACCTTACAATTTTACTAAAGTCAATCAGTGCCTTCTCCAATGTAAGATTTTGGATAGTTAATAGGAGCGAGAACTTGATATTTGTATAAACGATAATTAAGATCAGTTTTCCGCTCCACTTTAGGTTTTAATTCAACATTACTCGGCATGTCAACCAAACAATTGACCAGAGGGTAAAGTAACATGTTAGTGAGAATCAATTCATAAATAAAACATACTCAAGAATAATTGACAAGGAAACTGAAATGCATAAATATCAATAGAATAACAGTACTATTGCAGGAAATTTCCTGCAAGGAAAAATCACATCTCAGAAGATTTGGACATTTCCTTCCCTTGATTTATTCATAAAACGATCTATCTCTTCCCCTCAAGCTTATTTTTTCTGTACAGGTGATAGGGTATTAGTATCCGTAGTGCAGGAGACAAAACCCTGATATTGCCGTGGATAATAAGATCTAATCTGCTGAGTACCAAGCACTTTTTATTAAGGGGAGCAGAAATACGCATAAAAGTAAGTAGAGCATTGTACCTTGTACTCCGGGTTATCTCGAGTTCGAAGAAGCTCCATACCAAGAGCCTAAACAGCAAGCACCCACCAAAATTACTCAACACAGGGCAATATAAACAGTAAGACCATAAGCAAGCATCAGAACAGCATTGACCCTCACCTTCTCATAAAATTCAATGGAACGTTGAAGGTCACCTACTCGAAGCATTACTTGGCATAAAGGCTCAGGTGTGGGTCCTCTTTCCAGAAGCTCAAATTTATAACCATCAGGATCTTCAATAAATGCAATTACTGTTTTGCCTCCCTTGACAGGACCAGGCTCTCTTGTTATTTTGCCACCCTTGGCCCGTACAAGTTCCACCGTTTTTGCAACCTAGTAGAATTTCCCTTGAAGATGTCAATTTAAAGCATCAATGGAGAATAAATTTTGATGTGCCAAGGAACAAAACTAGCGCCCCAACTGCCACATCATCCAAAAGAGAAGAAAGAAAACAGACCAATTACACAATAGGCAGCATGCATACTTGAGAATAAGGGGAACTCCCAGAAACAAAAACAGTAAGATAGGCAAAGAAGTTTATAAAGGACACTAATGGGTATAAAAGGTTCAGCAAACTTACATCCTCAACAGCAATACCAAAATGGCCAAATCCAGTTCCAATATCATACTTGTCAACTCCATAATCTGAAATATTTGTAAACAAAATGAATATAAACTGGAAGACTTCAACTGCATGGGCTTATATGATTGACATCAGAAAATGCGAGCTGCAATATGAGAGGTTGTCAAGAAGTTCTGGCCCTTGCATCTTAAGAGGAGATCAAAAACTTAGTCAGACACTCACTGTATGTCAGTTCAATAACAAAGTGTGAATCTTCAGGACCATATCCAAGAAAAGCATTAGTATATTTCTCCTCTGGTATGTCACGCTTTCTCAGCAGCTTCATTCCTAGGCATTCTGTATAAAATCTGAAATAAGAAGCATTTTCTCCCTCAAAAACTCATTCCACAACTTGGTTCTATTGAAGACTACATAAGATTCTAGAGATAAGTAATTTGTATTTCATTTGAATATACTTTATGGTCCTGTCCAAGTCACCAACACGATAAACGACATGAAGCATTCTCCTCTTGTCTTGTTTGACCCACTCAAGTACATTTTCTGGTGAAGCAGCTGTGCTTGCCTGGCACACAATCCCAGTTGCTATCAATCCCGTGCGGCTCCCATCTCGTCTCAAAAGCCTGGGTGCTTTCAGGCCAAAGCTATGGGACTGAGGAATAGCTGGACAACAACCCACATGACAATTTCAGTTCATCTAAATCAATTAAAATGTAGAATATCATCTATTATCAGTATCAATGTAATATAAAGTACTACCCAATAACAACGTTCACAAAGCAGCAACATTAGAGTCTATTTTCCTCAACATACAGGTCATTGGCACTGAAGTAAAATACAGAATTAAAAAGTGATGCATTGGGAAAAAGAAAGAACAACAAAAATATGAATTTCACAGTCCATAATACCACTGCAGTGGTTCATGAAGATTAAGTGTAGTCGACTACTTGCATTTTTTTTTTTTTGGGGGGGGGGGAACGTGGGAGAAAATGAAATGATGCATGTATCATATGGGGGACAGCGGGCGATCAGTCCTATGTAATAATCATTCTGGCAAATAAGTTCACGCGAGATTGCAGGACAGGCCACAAGTCTAATCGTAGCCGTATAAATATCCAAATCTATTTCTCCCCATAGCCCGCTGTAATATACTCCTCCCACGAAAGCTCTGTCATGGTAATAACTAGATTTAAATGAAAGCGCTAGCCAGTATTTCCGATGTAAAACTGTCAACTTGAAATAAAAATTGTCAGGTCTTCGAGTTGACACGTAAATAGCAAGAAAACGCATCAAATTATAAATTATTCGTCTGGCGACTAAAAGGCTTATTCACCAAGAGAACAATCCAATTGTAAGGTGATTTAATGTTTTTTTCTTTTGCCAACTAATTGTAATGTGATTTAATACCTCACGAAAATAACGGAACTTTAGCAATAGGAACACCGAAATCTGAATAGAGTCAGAGAGCGAGAGAGAGCCTACCGCTGCCAAGATGAGAGAAGGAGATGGGCCGAAAGGGGCCACAGGAAGAGAGGGAAGGGAAGAAACGAGAACCACCGATTAACCTGAAGGACGAGAGAGAAGGTCGAATCGAAGACGCTATGGGAATTACTCTCACCATTTCTCGGCCTCTGTGGGCAGCCGGAATAGCTCAGTACTAGGAACGAACAGCGAGGTTGATAAGCGTCCTACTCCAATTAAATGCTTTTTCTTCCGCGTCTAGGGATGTGAGGAGAATAAAGAATTGTTCCTTTTGGTCGCGTTCCCAATCAGCAAAAGATGTCACGAACTAAGGAGGGTCGGTGTGGCATGTGGATTTGAGTGCCGTACGAGCCTACGTGTGGTGTTTTGCATTGGGCCACAATCTCCTTTCTAGGGATTAGGCGCTTCCTGTTCCAGGCGCCTCTCTGCATAATTTCTTTACATTTTTGAAAATGCATTGTTCCGAATCAATGCCCTCTTTCAGTCCAAAAACAAAAAAAAAATTCCTCTTTTGTTTGTTTTTGCGCCATCAATCATCATAAATTTCAATAACAATAATCGTCAATAATCAATCATCATCCATCAATAATCATCAATAATGAATACCGTAGAATTCTCTAACCGCTGTTTGGATGGAAAAAAATCAGGAAAAAAAAAACTAGAGCAAAAACTAATAAGAGAAATGGGTTTTTCTCTACTTACTTGGATAGGAGATAAAATGTGTAAAAAAAAAAAGGTGGAAGAGAAAATAAAGTCATCACATTTTTTGTTCTAAATTTTTCTCTATATTTTGGTTTGGGGGGGGGGAGATTTTCATGTTTGCCTCCCCCTGTGACTTCCTTAATTCTTCTTCTCTATGTTTTTTTTATTATATTTAAAAAATATTTAATTTTTATTTTTTGATGTTAAAAAAATATTTTATTAAATAACTAGGTTTTTGAAATATAATAATCTGAAAACGTATATAAATCAAATAACTTGATTTAAATTATTTGATGATGCTAATATTAATATAATTTTCTATTATATTATTTAATTTAATTTAATTTTAAATATGATATATTTGGATAAAATACTTTAGTCATTTAGATATTTGCTTTTTTTTCTTCCTATGTTTTTTTGTATATTTAAACAAGATGAATGATAACATTTTTCTCCTTATTTCCTTTCATCTCATTTTTTTCTCTCGACTTTTCTTCTCATCCAATCAGAGCATAAAAGTTTTGAGGACTAATCATGTGAAAGTTTTAGGTGTCCTTTTTTTTTCATTCTTTTGGCACATGTAGGGTTTTTGCCATTTATTGTGGGCCTTTTCATCTCCCTTTGAATTGCGAGTTGGGAGTTCATAGGTTCTTGGCTTTGGTTCCTATAAATAGGGGGTTATGGGTGAACTCCCATGCTAGTGTTTTTGAGCAGTTGTCTCTCTGTGAAGAGTTACATGGCGGTGACAAAATCAGGGAAAGTTGATGAATTGTTATTTGATTCTTTACCTTCTTGTGGCTTACTTTGTTGTCTGTTCGTTTGCTTTCTTATTTCTTTTCCCATGTATTCTTAGCCTTTTTTTGTACATTGTGACATTTTTTTGGGGTCATATTATGTGCTTTCTAGTCGGGATTATTCACTGTTATGGTCCTTTTCGACTTTTTAATTAAGAATGATGATTCATTCGAATCGTCCTTGAGACGTCACAAACTAATAATGAGTTAGCTGATTTTTTTCATCTTTATTTGCATTCGAGTTTTGTTGCTATCATTTCTGGTTTGCATCCTGATGACTGGGTTAGTTCAAGGGCAATCATTTTACTTGCATTCTGACTGGTGAGGTTGCAAATGGAGCTTATCAAAAGCTGTTGCTGGCTCGGAGTATGGTTTGGGTATTGGTGCGGTCTCTCAAGATTGAGAGATATGGAGGTACTGAATATCCACAACAAATATTTGATCCTCCACTGGGGCTCGCCACTCTTTTCCTATTTGTTAGTTACTTACAAGAAAAAGTTTTTTTTACTAAATATAAGTCACTTACAAGTAATTAATTAATGAGCTTTTTTGTAATTTTTAATAGTCTTACTTTAATAAAAGCAAATGGGAAAAATTATTAATTTAATGCATTTATTCGTTTGCGGGCTTGAGTAACAAGTTATTTATAAATAGCAACAGTACTATTTTTGTCTCATTTGTGTGAAATTATTAAACTGCGTTTGGTAGGAAACATTGAAAATGAGATATTAAGATTAGGAATGCAACTGAGAAAATTTATTAAAAAAGTGTTTAATATAAGAGATTGCTTGTTATATGGGATAAGTTAAATCCACTTATGTGCGATTGGAGAATACCATGGGGAGAAGTGGTATTTCCCAATCCCACCTCTATGGGTTTGCCTAATCATATATAATAAATAATTACTCATGCTAAATACTTCTCTGGTCTTTAATATAAGACCTATTTAACTAATTTGATTATATTAAGGAAGTTAGGTAAGTTAGTTAATTATAAAAAATGTGACACGTTTTTCCTAAAATACCATAATCATCTTTCTTAATACCCCTTCTTCCTCTTCTACTCGATTATGGTTGAGGGAGTATCTATAAGGGTAATTTAGAGAAAATTGATAAATATGATAAATGAGTCTTGTATTAAGGACCAAAACCAACTCAATAATTAGGTCCTATATCAAGGACCGAAAGAATACTATTGTAATGATTTTTGTCAATTATAATCCCAATCTTTTATTTTTAATACTTCGTAGCAAACGGTACTTTAGATTCTTTCATAGGCTGCACAATTGTCTAAAATTGTGGGAACTCAACCAAAGTTGAATTCGATGCTATGGGTTTTACGGAGCACATGTATGGGCTATTGAAGTGCTTTGGATTGGAGTGTCCATTGTTGTTGTTTTGTTTGTTCTTTTTGCCTTTGGTTGTGAGGGTAGGCATGAGGCCTAGGGCTTCTCTAGTTTGTTTCCTGCGTTTTATGGTCATGGAGGAAGCGAGTAGCAATTGTTGAGTCGTTGGTTGAAGCGGAGGCATTGTTTCTGGGTTTGGGAATTGAAAGGACCTGGGTATTGCGAGAATGTAAAACATTTATTCGGAAAAATGTCATGATCAAGCCATTTGCTTATCATCGTTACGTGGCTGTAATTCCTTCCACCAAGATCAAAACATTTATTTTTATGCGTTCTTTGGAAAACAAAGGGGTTGCTTTTTGCATTGGCCATTTAATAAAATTGGGATTTTGATTCTGCCAATCAATATTTGTTATTTGCATTTCTATCTAAGATGTTATTGTGCTAATGAAGTTGATATTTTTGCAAGAGTAAATATTACTTTTGGGTTTTGTGTAATTGTGTTTGAGTTTCCTGAATTTTTGTTGTAAGTTTAAGACAAACAAATCAGTTATTAATTATTTCAAAAATAATAAATAAATAAATAATCATTCTCACTGGATAAATAAATGACCATTCTCATTATCAGTGTGGTAGTATTTAATTTATACTTGTGACTTTGTTTCATTCTCTCTGTAGTTTGATTCCGGTTATAACGTTATCCTTTTTTTTCCCCCCGGGGTGAAGTACGTTATGTAATTTTTTCTTTGGATAACAATTAATTTATATATAATCGTGATCCTTTTTTTTTTTCCGGTGAATGTACGTTATGTAATTTTTTCTTTGGATAATAATTAATTTATATATAATCGTGACTTGTTTCATTCTCTGATTAGTTTGATTCCGGTTACAACGTTGCTGCTTTTTGCGGCTTTTTTTTTTTTGCCTGATTTTTGTGGCTGTACATTATGTAATTTATTTTTTGATCAGAAGTGTTTAATTTATGGAGTATCAAAATATACAGTATTTTTGCTTATTGATTAGTGTATAATGTGCATTCTCATTGGTTTTAATGTTTTAATGCATGATTTCCCCTAATATATAATACACATAGAAACCGCAATCTCTATGCTTTAATGTTTTACATGAAGGCGCACGGAGGTACACAATAATTGATGATGACTGATCATATCACCAAGAGAGCAAAACAAATAAAAAATTTAAAAAAATCATCACTGATCAGTTATGCGTAGTTTAATGTCAATGAATTTAAGATCAATTCAAGGAAATAAGAATTATGAACTGTTCGCTACTTCGCCACACGTGCTGAATTTTATTGTTAGTTATTACTCCTACGGTCAATATAGATCCTAATTATTATGTTGATTTTGATCCTAAATATAAGACATATTTCTTATATTTATTAGTTTTTTTAAATTATCCTTATAGATACTTCCTAAACCATAATCAAGTAGAAATAGGAGAAAGGATATTAAGAAAGATAATTATGGTGTTTTTTAAACACGTCATATTTCTTATAACTAACTAACTTACCTTATTTTCTTAATCTAATAAAATTAGTTAAATAGGTCTTATATTAAGAATTGGAGAAATATTTGTTTGGATTTAAAGTGTTTAAATATTTCGACCAAAAAAATTGTTTAAATACTTTTTAGCCAACTGTTCAAATTTACATGTAGACTAGGTATACATTAATAATAATATTATTATTAATATTCCATTATGAATCTGACATCAATTGAAGGAACTATTCAACGATAAGAAATTAATTTAATCAAGAAATTAATTCTCGAGAACAATGTTAAAAAAATACATTTCTCATATGTTAAAAAAAAATTTCTTAAAATTTTCAGTATGATTTTACTGTTATGCAATTATATTGCTTTCCATTGATTTAGATAAGTAAAATCTTAGTAGTACCTTCATTCAATATATTGATGTCATTATTTACAAAAGATCATTTATATTACTGTGAAATAATTCTTGTGTCAATCAAGACAGTTTAAAACTCAAGACTGTTTTTTAGGGAAAAAAAACCAAGACTGTTAGATAAGAAACGGGATTTTAATATTTTTTTAAAAACTAAATCAAAACTCAAGACTGTTTGATAAGATTCATTATCATAGTGTTCGCCAATCAGCCCGCCCTAAATTGAATAACGATCAAGAGGATTGCATAACTAATTCAACTAATACTTGAATATGTGAATATAACAGTTAAGGCAGAAAAGCATAATCAAAACATCAAAGAAGCAAAAGAATCGAAGAAGATCAGAATATGGCAGTACTTCCTAGTTATGCGAAAACTATGAACAAGCTACAAGTTGCTTGCTCAAAAGATGAAAAAATCTATGCAATGAGGCAACTAGTTTCTGTACTAAAACATCTGGAGCCACGCAACGAGAATACTATCACTGAGCACTTTAAGTTGTTCTGGAAAAGGCCTTATGATAGCAACTG